GCAGTCTTATGGAGAAATAGCCGACTTCTCACTTGATTTATTAGCTCAGTAAACAGTTTCCTAATGAGTTTATGGTCTCAATCTCTAGTTTCAAGTCTTCTTCCATAAAGCATGATGGTCCCATTTAGAGTAAGATGACCATAAAGCAGGGTATGCTTTAGGGCGGGGCTACCTTGTGATTGATAGCTCATTCTCGGTGAGTCCGTCCGGCTCAACGCACCGAACTCAGATTAAACTGCCAGAGATTAAGACCATAACGTCAATAGCAAACTGTTTACTGAAGTATTACATGTCAGTGAGAAGTACGCTCATTTGTTTTCAGAGCCAGTGGAGTCACCGCCTGCTGGCCATTAGAAAATGTAGGTTTAAGGCCCATCTGTGTTGGCTTCACTTTTCAGAGAAAGAAAGTAAGTGTTTCTGAACAATAAAATACTCAAAACACAAACTCATCAAGTTGCCGTGAGGAAACAGTGGAGGCTGATTTAGAAAAAAAATCAAAATTAATTAAAAGCCAAACTGAAAAGTAAGTCTTGAGTTTGCTTTTACTGTCAATGGCTACAGCTCTGATGTGCTTCTGACCCCGCAGAGACTTATTCGGTATTGTAGTATTTAGACTTGTCCGCCAAACAAAAACAGACAAAACTTGATTTTTCAGAAATAAAGTTGAAATAATTAAAACAGCAGTGGGTTGTTAGATTATCTGGGAGGGTCCTGTGTTTACTAATATTAGGAACGCTTACAATAATGTTTTATTCATAGAGCACTTTAAAACCCACATTACAAAGTGCATTATAAAAATAAAATAAAACTCTAAAGAACATTTCAACCAGATAGACAAGAAAATCATTTAGGAAATAAAAGATATTCGATTAAAATTCAAGTAAATTCAGGAAAAGCTCTCTGATAAAAGACCTGTCTGAGGATAGGGCTGCACGATGTGGTAAAAAAAGTCATTGAGATTCTGATTAGCAGGAATAATTTTTAACATCAAATGTTTTTATTTTCACTGCTAAAAACTACTAAAATCATGATGTGACATTTTTTGGGGTCTGTACTACCAAAGAAACAAGTTTTCTTACGCCTGTAGAACGATTTGTACGTTGGTGCTACAGTACTTGCAGCGATTTGAATAATATTTTGATTCATTGTGCAGTGCTAATACGGTACCAATAGGCTGGAGATAAAGCAGAGGGAGCAGCCAAATAGAGCCTCAAAAGTAATCAGTAAAATCAATTCTAAAACCCCTCAACCTCTCCCACTTTGCAGCTCTATTAGCAGTTGGCTTCAGCGGTTCCTCCCATTTCTCAGCTCTACTGCTGCTTTTAATTTGAAACTCCTCCGGATAGAAACCGTTAAACCACAGGGTGAAACCCAGCACAGAGAGAGAGAGAGAGAGAGTGTCTCACCCGTCTTTGTGTTCTCCGCAGGGCGAGCTCAATGGACACAAGGGACTCGTTCCTTCCAACTTTCTAGAAGAAGTGCCTGATGATGTAGAGGTTTTTCTCACTGACTCACCATCTCGATACGCCCAGGACACTCCAGCACGGATAAAGACCAAAAGGGTACATGCTCCTTCGCAGTACTAGCCCTCTGTCATCCATTTACTCTTTTCAGTTCCCTCTATCTCCTTTAGTTTCGTGTCTGTGCGTGTGTGTGTCTCATTGAAGTACAATGGGATTTTCTGACTTTGGAGCATTACGCTGTAAATAAATAGATGTTTAAGATCTATGAGAAAAAATAAAACTTTAAGACTAATACTTGACAGAGGTACTTTTATTTTTCATGTTTACTGCTGTGAAGGGGGGGAAGTTGTACATTGTATAATACATGGATATATTGTATTCATAAAGCATTCTCAATGAGAGTAAAATGGAGGTGGGGGGGGGAGAGAAGCTCCTGTGACTTTTTACTTGTTCTGTCATGTCTTGAGAAACAGCAGTTAACACTTTTTGCACATGCATATTTAGCATTCTAACAGATGCTTTATGAATATATTCTGTGTTTGATCTCAAATAATTTCTAATAGAGTAAATAGTTTTGTTGTACTGAAAAGATGAACTATGTAGTCTGTAGCTCAGCATGTCCTATAGTCCAGATGCATGAATTCTTGAACATTTTATATAAAAAAGATAAAGTCTAGTGTAGTACAACTTTTGTATCTGCTCCTGAACGCCTTGTTTTGTATATTGCTTTCTTGTAAAATAGCACGCAGAAGGTCACTTAGCCTATGTTGCCATCAGAGAATAATTTCAGAAGTAATTATTTACTAAATGTAAATATGTGATGTTATTTTTGTGTTTAACAAATAATGCAATTGTTGAAATATTAATAGATGTCATCAGATATTTCTTTCCTTATGTGTTCTAATTTGCCATTGTCATAGTGCAAACTATTGAAATGCCATCACCATATTTTTTTATTTCTTTTCCTCACCCGCTTGGCAAAACAGAAGAAGAGTGTTCATTTCACACCTTAAAGGCTCTGTTTCCGTCACGTAAGTGAGCAACTGAGGATACCAAGATTACGCTCCCCTCGTCTAATGCAGCTGACATGGGTACCCTTAGTTTCTGGTATGCAACATGTGTACTTTATATGACATTCCTTTAGTGCTGCTCTTCTTTGTTTCACCAAAACCCTCAATACTGTTTGTTGGTAGGAGACAGTAACCCTAGCCAATGCATTAGACAAGAAGTATGGTATCTTCAGTTGTTTCTCTGAGTGTTGTACATGACAATGTCCGTCTCCTGCAATAAGTCTCCTGCTGTAACTCATGGTAAGCTAAAAGGCCATAGTTGTACAATTGCCCTCAATTATGAGTTAAAAATTCAAAAACTTACATTTTAGGTGACGTTCAGTGCTGCATCGTAGAAAGAAATCCAGAAAATGCACCGATTCTATGCAAAAACCCAAAGAAAAGCATAAAGGTTTTAAATATTTTTTCATTTGGTTTTGCAGTTCTAATAGAAGTTTTTGCTTAAGCCAAATTTCTTATATGCAAAGAAATAATACGAAATACATTTATGAAATATATTTAAAAAAAATACATTTTGGTCAAATCAGTTAGCATTTTGGTTTTCAAATAATTTTGCGAACCAAGATATCGATTGCCAACTAATAGTTATTGATTTAAAGTGAGACTATGCAACTTTTGCTAAGCAGCTGCCACGAAAAATTACAGTTGTTCCGATACCATGTAATTTATTAGCCCCAAAAACCTTCCTAAACCCCGCCCCTTTTTGGATTAACTTTCTCCTGCCCTGTACTTAAATATGCTATATGCTAAGCTCATCTACGCTTGAAAACAGCCACATTTTGAAGATTGCTACAAAATTAAAGTTTACAGTTATATAGTCACATCTTAAGTTAATGTTGGCAAAACACTAGCTAACTACCTAGATAATCTACAGCAAAATAGTTTTTTGCTCTGTAGCAAAACACTAGCTACCTAGGTACCTAAGCCGCTAACTAGCCAGCTAACGATTGATGTAGATTTGCTAGCTGTTGCTAACATTAGCGAACTTAGCTAGTTAGCTTGCTCGGTCACAAAACACTAGCTAACTAACTAGATATCGACTAACTAATGTGACTATATATTTTATCTTTTAATCATCTTTAAAATGTGGTTGTGTTTTCAACACAGATTAGCCTAGCACATAGCATATCAGGCCAATTACAGGATAATGCTAAAATGCTACACTACTTTTAAGCATTCAGGTAAAGTGCTAACAGTACCAAAATTGGCGAAAAGTCATTAAACCAGAATACGGACTCTGTAATGCGCATTATATTCATTAATATTTACCCAAAGTTAAGCTTCTGGTCATCGTCTTTAATAATTAATCTTTTCATTTGTAAGTGGAAGAATCAAAAGTTACAGTCTCACTTTAAACTCAGTTCATAAAATACCAAATGCAGCAGAATGATTTTGCTATTGTTTAAATTATATTCACACATATATGTAAATATAGAAATGGAATCTTTAACCATCCGTCTTCCCCAAGTGCAATTTAAAAGAGCCTTTTAGCTCATGATTACAGAAAAGGAATAGTGACTAGTAGTTTCTCTGTAACCCAGTTGTACCAGTAAATATCTATATCTATATATACATATACATATATATATTTGAGAGGAAGGAAAGTGAATGTGATATAAATATGTCCCACTTGTCCCAAAATGCAAATGTATCTGTTTATGTGAGAGAAACTGCCCTGCCTTTGATATTCATTGTTGGGAAATGTTGTCACCTTACATTGATGTGGAAAGTTAGTCAATGTCATGCTTAAATTCTGTGTTGTTGTAGCTTATTCATAGCAGCTTTATTAAAAAAACAAACAAACACTGTTGCTACCTGTCAGAGAGAGAAAGGGGGAGGGAGGGAGTGTGTATCTATACCCGAGTGCACAGGACAACATCCAGGGAGGTAGACTTCAGAGCTATGGTGACCCCTGCTGAGACAGAAAGGACGTAAGATGAAGCAGGGGGAGTAGTGACTGAGGTGTGAGAGACCGCTGGCTTTTTAACACCCTCAACTGTCCCTTACGGGTCTCCCATTAGGTTCCATTGGATAAATCGGGTCCGCCCAGAAGAGCAGCCTCTCCCACAGTGCGTCCACACATCCCTGGCTCTGGCCCTGCCACCGTGGGGCCCGGCAGTCCCATCAGGGCCCCACTGGACATGTACTCCTCCAAAAAGAAAAAGGGACTGCTCTCCAAAGGGAAGAAACTATTGCAAAGACTTGGCGCTGTAAAATAATTTCTTGACCTACACATTGGAGAGTGTCATCCAATTTCTTGTAGTGTTTTAAAGAGAAGAGAAAAAATCTAAATATCACACAGTGGACAGGTGGCATTTGTGAGCTTAGCAAATGCTTTATTCTTGTACATCTGTTGTATACTAGAATATTTGTATTTTGTTAACAGTATCAACTACATATTTTCAATAACATTTCATATTACGGCCCCGGGACCTCATGGTGTCGGCCCCGTGTAGTATTAAGTATCTTACCTCCTGAGTCTGGCTGATGAGGTTTTGCCGTAGACAGGAGGCTGGGGGGTGGCGATCAAGTCTGATGGCACTTAATGCACCGCAGTCCGACCGGCGACTCTGTGTACAGAAACCAGAATGTCATTCAAACACAGAGGGCTCAGCTAAAGCTTGGGAGTCCATTTTTGAATCTGAAGATAAAC